ACATTGACAGGTACTGTCTGTACTACTAATAAATTCAGGACTTCATAGGCGTGATTTTTACTGACAGCTGTCGCAGAGATCAAGCTATCTTTTATGAACTATAGTCTATAGGTTTCTCTGTCTACGGCGTTCGCATTCACAGAGTATAGAGGTCTCTACACTTCATAGCTTTGTTGTTTTTTATATTTCGCGATTTGTTTTAAATGGTGATTTTTTGTTATCAAATTTAGTTGTTGAACATCATAAAACATTATTACCCCTAGTGGAAAAGAACAATAACTTTATATAAAATAAAATAAATGTGGTATAATTTCACTGTATCTCCATCCGTAGTCAGGTTACCTGCAATTCTCTCGTGAAGCGGGAGAGTTTAGTCCCTTTTTGGAGTTTCTATTTGGGGTATTTTTTTGGGTTTCCTGTAACAGAGCTCGATATAAAAGAACGTAATAAAATACAATTTTCTGTTTCTTCTGTTTATTTATTCAATTAGCATAAAAAAGAACTTTACAAAATTGTTTATCAAATTATGTAGTTTGTCACTGTCCTCTTCATAATGTGTTTTAAGTGACAAGAAATTTTCCTTCCACGACATGTTATACCCACTAATAATTACATATATGAGAAAGAAATATGAAAGTATGTACCACCTTTCCTCCTGGCAAATGTTGTGTGGGTAAGTAGCAAAGTTCAGTACAGGGATTCAATACCAAATCTTTAAATAAGGATTGGGCACTTTCGACACAAACACAAAAGCCTAAAAATCCGGTATAGCGTGGAGTTTTCAGTATGTTTGTGCTTGTAATAATTCAGTTTCTATTGAAATATCAGCATTTAAATTAAAAATAAATTGTTTTGCTTTATTTAATTTAGCAAAACATTGTTGATAATTATCGAAGAGTCGAGTTGCTAGACGGACATTCATTATTTTATTTTTAAAATAAACATGGTTTGATCTTAATTTATTTGTTAAATAAAATAGTTCAGTTTCCTCTAATTTATGTAATTGTAAAATGTAATTCCACTGTACTTTATTTTCTAAAAATAAATTGTTTTGCTGTATTTAACTTAGCAAAACATTGTTGATAATTATCTTTATTCTTTTATAATCATAAAGTCCATGGGTTTTTGAGTTTAGAATATAAAAAACATCATTAAACAATTTTAAAATTCTGCGGTGGGACTGCTGTTGATAAAACCGGGTAAATAAAGTTTTTGACAAAACGTTGAAGCATCTGCCACACTATCGCTGAAGATTTGAGTTGCTAGACGGTCATTCATTATTTTATTTTTAAAATTAACATGGTTTGATATTAATTTATTTGGTAAATAAAATAGTAAAGTTTCCTGTAATTTATGTAACTGTAAAATGTAATTCCACTCTATTTTATTTTCTAAGGCATCCGTAAAATATTTATAATATTCGAAAGCGTTTCGTACGAACTTTAACAAGTGGCCAGGATCTAAAAAAAATAAACCTGTTGCCCGAATGTGGGATCTAATATTGTGGTTTTTAAATTTTGGAGATCCATGCAACAGCCCAAATCCTCAGCCATAGCAATATTGGATCTCGTTCCACCACAGGTCAATTCTTTTATTTAAACACTGAATCACCAACTAGTTCAAACGCTTTAGTGACTAAACGGGCTATGAGTGTGGCTGATGTCCTTACAAAAAGTAACCAATTGGTAGTTACCACATGGTGTTTATACCTACTAATAAAAACACTAAAGCACCTGTAGCCTCCTCAGATGTTTCAGAAATGTTATCAAAACCATAATTTACATACCCGTAATAACGCTGAGATTTAGGATGCCATTCAGGACTTTGTTTGATTTTCACTTCGTCAATAATAAGAGAATAATAAATTGTTTTACCCGGACTATTTTCTTTTACACGTTTAAAAGTATTAAGCGCTTCTTGAGTAAATTCCGGGCGCCCATCGATAGTGGCATACCATTCGGTTAATGTTCGAGGATGTGGTAAGGCAGTCGAAAATACCTTTCGAACATATTGTTGCGCGCCTAAGTTGACGTCTGGCACTAGCGCCATCTAGTGTCGGGTAACAGAGCGGAGAGCTTTCCAGAAAATGTCTAATCTTTCAACCGACAGCGCCATCTAGTATCGAATTGAAGAACTAAGCTTTCTAGAAGCCCCACACTCGAATTTTCTGCGCCTGGTCGGGCAGCGCCCGTATTTACTGGAATATTCTGGATGTTTCGGTGGAAAATGTGTATTTAAAGCCGCTGCAACCCGCTATCGAGGCAGTATTGAATTTGGCGAGACAAGCGAAGCTTCGGAGCGAAATAAAGTGAATCAGTGTGATTAATTATTAGTGTATTTTAAGTAAAATGAATTAAAGTGTTAATTTTGGTAATACAATTGGCAGTTTTTGTTGTCACGAACCCTAAGCTCGTAACAATATTTATATGCTTTTGGAGAGTAGTAATTCGGTGTAAGTGCAAAGCATCTTAATTCGGGTGAAAATGATTTGCGTGACGTCTTTCCGGTGATGCTATTAGCAATCTGCTTCTGAAGGAGTTTTCGATTGGAAACTCCAATATTTTCTAAAGTGAATTGATTTTCCTTATCAGTTAATGCTTGACTATTTGAGGTTTTTAAAATGTCTTGTAGAGATGCTACCTTTTTTAAATATCTATTTTTTTATTTTTTTTTTTGGTTTCGTTGTAAATTTTCATCTTCATTTTTCTTTTCTTCGGTGATAGTTCGATGCTTGCGTGCGTTATTAATGATGGAGTAGAACTAGAAGGACCTGGTTCCTGAGGTTTATAGATCTCCACAGACTCGACCTCCTGGAAAGGAAAATAATATTCTGTTGAGGAAATTATGCACCTACCCCAGACCTATAAAATCCCACGGGTTGCCTCAAAAAGCAATCCAAAAATTTTCAAGTACATAACACGAATATTACTTACAGCATCTGTTAATAGTAATGTTGATAAAGCATCACAGACTAATTTACAACGTTTATTAGGCAAACATCGAAATTGCGATGAATCAAAGTGAATCGAACAGATAGTACTTGTGCGGGTTGGTACCTAACCCCTTTTTCGAGACATTGTGCTCAACTCATTAAGAGTGTCTTGGAAATCTGTAAAAGTAGAACGATTATGAGAATACATTAGTATAAAATATAAATGCAAAATTGTTGCTGTTTTCGGAATAAAGCTTTTGTAATGCTTAATCCAGTGTAGAAATATGCCTAATTGCATTCAAACAGATTTAAGGTGTTTGTTACTCCTTCACGCCACAACGACTGAACAAATTTAGATACTCTGAATTAACACAAGCTATATTTGTCTCGGAAAATTAAAAAGTTAACAGGAACTTTTTAATTTTCCTTGGACGAAGGACGTGGACGAAGTCGCGGACATCATTTAGATAACAAGGAAAATAAGTAAATATATTTTAAATATTATAATAATTGAAGGAAGTTTTAATATAGACATATCCATAGTTTAAATTTTTTTGTTGAATTTATTTAATCTAAGGACAAAAATTATAATGATTTCTTAAATTTACGCAAACACTACACATTGAATAAATTATTATTTACGGATTTTATTGCGTTTAATTACTACTTTAATTTATTTTTACTATCCCGACGTTTCGGGTGCTTTACAACACTCATGGTCACGGGGGAGACTGAGATGTTTGACGTCCCAATGTCAAATAGTCCGGCTACCTTCAGTTTTTGAATATTAATTTTTGGTCCGATTTACGCAAAATGAGCTTATAGTATCATGAAGTCTTGCAGTGGTATGCTTGGGTTAGCGTTTAATTTTGTTAATTATAGGATCCCAAGCAGATGGCAGCAACCATCCATCTTCTCTATTGAAATTTGGATGTTTTCTTTTAATTTCAATGGCATCGCGTATCATCCTTGGTAGGAATCGGTGTTCTTTTAGGGTTTGTGGTTTATCAAATCTAATGTAACGGTGGGGACGATCTTGAACATGTTTGCAGACTGCAGAGTGCAGACTTCCCGGAGCGTCGGTGCTTCACGTCAGCTATATGTTCCGTCAAGCGGGTTTTTATAGATCTTTTTGTTTGACCTATGTAAGAGAGACCACATTCACAATTTAACTTATACACACCTGCATCTTTTAGAGGAATATTATATTTGATGCATGATAAAAATGGACTAATCTTCTTCGGCGGCTTGTAGTATGTTTTAATGGGCGCTCGCTTCAAAATGTAGCCAATCTTGTCTGTGACTCCTCTGACATACGATAGTACAGCAGGCGCACGCTCGGCTGTGGCCAGCTTCACTCATTCACTGTGACGTAGGCGCGGGACCCAAAGCTTGTTGTCTTGCAATACTTGCTTGACGTGCTGAAGCTCGGCGGCCAGATGTTTTCAGTCACAGATCCCCCATTCTCTCTGTAAAAAAAAATTACCCACGGTAGCTAACTGAGAATGATAATGGTGAGATTCATCATTTAGATATAGGTTGGTATGGGTCTTTTTCCTATACACAGTACGACCAATAGTGTTATCAGGATTTCGGATGACTAAAACATTTAGGAAGGCTAAAGAATTATTTGCCTCTAACTTCATTGTGAATTGTATTTTAAAGTTTATGGAATTAAGGTTTTCTAAAAATGCAGTTACTTTATCAGATGGTAAAATTGTGAGTGGTTTCTACGTACCGCTTGTAGAACCTTGGATTTACAGGATCAGTAAGGAGCGCTTTCTCCTCAAAATCATTGACATATCAATGATAAATCGCCGTCAAATAGTGGTTTTGAAAATAAAATTTTAGAAAGTAATGAAATAATAATTGTAAAAAGAATTATGGTGAAAGTCGGTGCAATAAAAAATTATAAATTTTTTTTAAAATTTAGACTGTAACTACAGTGGCGCCATCCTTATTGAGCGCTTTCTTTCGGACACTATTTTATACAGTCTGTACTCCTTACCTCTACACTCCATACTATAAATTTCAATTATTATAAATCTAAGGTGATTTATGGATAAAAATGGATTCTTCGTCAATTGTAAGTTTCAATAATGATTCAACATATCAGACTACTCTAAAAGGAGAATATGATAACGTAAGTGTTCACGAATTAGCTTTGCATGCAATGCGAGATCGATGTTTACTTTTGCAAAGAAGAATAAACACTTTAGAAAATGATAACATGAAATTAAAACTAGATATATCAAGGGCTACTGGAAATTCTTCTTACATTCCATTACAAGAAGATGAGAAAACGCAACTCTATCAACAAATAGCAGAACTTAATAAGCAGAAATCGCAACTCATTCATCATGTTTTTATGGTATCCTGTGAAAACAAAAACTTGTGGAATAAAATTTCTTCATTAAAGGGTCAAGATAAATCATTTAATAAAGATTTATGTAAGCGGCCTTTGTTACGCACACATACTTATATTCAAAATATGCCAAGGCCTAGTACAAACTATCAAGAAAAATATTCTGAATCAAGCTTAGAGGAGATTTCTCTTAAGTTAATTAACAGCTACATTCAAGAAAAATCCCAACTGGTTGAGCAGTATGAACAAATGTCACAACTTCAAGAAATGGATGATGATATTTTAAATGTAGATTCAGTAGGATTCACCTTTATGGAAGATCCTGCCCTTGATTCATTAAAAGAGATACATAATCAAATAGAAAAATTGCAACATTTAAAAAAAGAACTTATCCAACAAGAAAATGATTTAAAATTAGTAATTTCAAGTCTTGAAACTGTGTTAATAGGTAATAATTTAGTTTAATTTTATTTCACTGCATGCACAAATAATAACATGCTCATTTATATTTTACTAAACATCTTAGATATCTATACAAATAAATAAAAATTTTACTGTCTGTTTCTCTGAAACGGCTGGACCGATTTTGATGGGACTTTAATTGGCATAAAAAATTAAAATTAAAAATCTAATCATAATAAATTCCACATGGGCAAGTTGCGGGTAACAGCTACTACAGTATAAAAACAGACTCTGATCCAAAAGGGGCACAAAGAATACTGCAATAAGTGTCAAAATAAAACACCATAGTAATAATTAATATAAAATTTTTAGGTTTATTTCATAAACAGCTCCAATTTGCTCAAATCTTTTTCATTTTTATTTTGTAGAATATGGGTGACAGTAACAAGCATACAGTTCTCTTTATATGCAAATATATCTACATTAATTTATCCTCAATTAAGAATTAAAATGAAGATGTGTTGTCACTCCTGAGGACTAAAATGGAATGCCTCATTTCTAATAAAAAGGGGTCCCCAGTTTCATGAACCAATCGCACATGAAAGTTTAAAGTGGGTTTTCGGTAATAATTGAATCCCAGAGAAAACTCTTATAGATCAGCTGGGGTTTTAACCTGAATAAAATTCTATGTGGACGATGTCATGGGTACAAAGCTAGTTGGCCTATAAAATATAACTGAGTGTATTATTACCTATAATCAGGCCAGACTATTGATCTGTAAATAATAACTTACACAATGGAGAAAGTAATAGTATTTTTAATGCTCAAAACAGTGAAAACTATTTGTTGGATAGTGGAGGTGTAAGAATATCCACTATACCATATCTTTCCGTGGTGTCATAAGATGGGCAGCAGCTTCTTCCTAATAATGACCCAAAATAATAAAAAACTGCAGTTGGCAACCCACCTGCTAAGCATGGCAACTATGGCAAAATTCTCCCTATGAGGAGGCAATCTATGAAAGGTCTATATATAATGAATAAAACACTGGTCCAATGACACTGGAGAACCAAGGTAAATATTAATAGACATACAAAGGCACAAAGTGGCACAAATAGGGTCATATATATATATATATTATATATATCCTTTCGGCTGCGGAGACTCTAACCGTAATACTACGTTGACTGCGGAGCTGTTTAATAAAATGTACGGTTGATTGGGCCCAATCCGTTTAAACGCAAATATCTTGATTTTGGTATATCGAATACTATAATATGTATACATTTCTGAATTCTCTATGAAATTTCCTATAAACGAGTACATATATTTGATAAAGTTTTAAAGTAATTAGTATAACTAAATATAATATAACCAGCATGTTAGTTCTAAGGTAGCAGTTTGCTTCATACATATTAAAAAACGATTTTACACATACTTAATAAGATAAAACACAAAATGAGATTACAAATAAGAAGGTCACTTACCCAGCCATTGTTTTAACACAATTCACCACACAATAAATATAAATTAATACAAAATAATTACAAACAACTTCATTGTTTGCGCGCGTCAATAATGGCTGACTAAAGGAACGGACAACATTTAAGAATGATTTAAATAAAATATACTACTAAAGTGTATAAAGCTGTGAGGTTTTTATGCTAGCCTTTTTTATCCTGTACACATTGACATATGGTAGAATGAGTTAGAAATAGCACATAATGCTTTGTTTCTTCATTAAAAGAGCGGGTAAAAAATGTCTAACACTTGGACGCCCACAGTCAACGGAGATATTTTCGTGTCCAAGTCTTGGACATCCACAGTTTAGAGGATATATATATATATATATATATATATATATGTCATAGAAAGTTGTTCTCATAGTACCAATTATTAATTTTCATGTTATTTTTGTCTGATTACAGAGGGTTACAAATGTCCAAATTGTATTAACAATAAAACAAGAATAACAGCTACAGACAATAAGGAGGTTGAAACAAGTGGCAGTCTTGTTGATTTGACCAACACTTTACAGTCTAACAAATATACTGACTCTTCACCTGGTTATAAAGATTCAGAAAGTGATGAAAAGGATCTTACAGTAGAGCAATTTGATAAAATCTGTCCCATGTGTGGACAAACTTTCAAAAGGGATGTTGAATTTACAGAATTTCAATCACATGTGGAACAACACTTTATAGGAGAAAGTGGAATAGATTCATTTACTGACAATTTAGATGATAGTCCTAATTCTTTTGATAATGTAATTTAAATAATTTATATTACAATAATTATGTGCTCAAGTGCTGTAAGAATGGGTTCATATTCAACAATGACCAATCTTGACAAACTGGAGCAGCACTGCGACCATCATAAATTTGACGCCATTGGCATCAGAAGAGCTTCTCTAAACAATAATGTACATAATTGTAAAAATATATTTTTTTGCTTGTTGCAAACTCTTGTTGTTCTTTTTTTCTCTATAGAAGAGGGGGCAAACGAGCCTATGGTTCACCTGACATTAAGTGACTACCGCCGTACATGGACATCCGCAACACCAGAGGAATTGCAGGTGCGTTGCCGACCCTTTAGAAAGGAGTAAGCTCTTTTTTTGAAGGTCCCCAGGTCGTATCGGTCCGGAAAAATCGCCGGTGGTAAACTATTCCACAGAGAGGTCGTACGCGGAAGAAAACTCCTAGTGAAACATACAGTGGTGGACCGCCAAGTATCCAGATGGTGTGAATGGTATCGGGAGGTTCGCCACGTAGTGCGTTCACGAAATTTGGCGGCTGGGATTGATCCGAACAATTCCTCGAGCACTCCTCGTGATAGATGCGATACAATACGCAAAGAGATGCAACATATCTTCGCAGCGCCAGTGAATCGAGCCGATCGGAAAGCACTCGGTCGTCGACGATTCGAGCCGCTCTGAGCTGGATGGTCAAGTTGAAGGAGCTGGCACTGGGGAGCCCCAGCTCAGAGATGGGAACAGTATTCCATATGTGGCTGAACCTGCGCCTTATAAAGTTGCAGGCGGCATGCCGGCATGATATACTGTCCCGCTCTGCTGAGCACGCCAAGCTTTTAGGGTGACAAATCAACATCGAGCTATGCTGCGCTGTACTGCACTGTGCTATGTTTGGTCAACTCGCTCGTCTAATATTTTAATGAGGATACAAACAAACCATGCTGTGCTGCGCTGTGTGAGGCTACGCTCTGTTTAAAAACGCAGCACTCTCGAGCGAGGCGCGCTACTCGCCGTGCTGAGTGTGCCGAACTGTGCTATGTTTTTTATGGAGCTCTGCCATGCTGCGCTGTGTCGATCTGTGCTAGGTTTTTCAAACATGGAGCACGCTACGTGCCCCTCCATCGCCCTCAGACGTCTCTCTCACTCTCGTACTCCCATCTCGCTAGCACTAGTGTATGCGCGCACAAACAAACAAGAACGAACGAGTTTCATTCGCTCATTCAAACAGGTCAGGTAACACGTGTTGTGTCGAAATTTGTTCATCTGATTAAAAAATTGAGATTTTTATAGAAGAAGTTCGGAAACACGAATGTTTGTGGAATCCAACATCCCCATATTATAAAGATTCAGAAAAAAGAGAAGCCTCCTGGCGCGCCATTATACAAACAACAAAGATGGAAAACAGTAAGTACTTACTAATAAGTGTGTGTGTACGTGTGTATTTATGTGTGCTTATCGTTGGTGTATTGGTACAACTTTGTATGTATATGACTCACAGTTATAATCCCGGATATGTTAGCTACTAACCAGAGACTCAACTCAAGGTCGTGATCATGAACGAGGTAAACAGAAGCATTTGAGTGATATAGGTGTACCAATGAATGATGAACTTTGGAGTGGTTACATTGTAATTAATTTACTAGTGTTGCAATAAAATCATTAATTAAATAAACTTATTTTTGTATAAAAGATTTCCATATGTACTCATTAAATAATTTTTATATTAAATTTTCAGTTTTATAACTTGTAAATTAATAAAAATGTAACCACTCCGAGGTTCATCATTCATTGGTACACCTATATTAGAATAATCGATTACAGCTCACTTTTTACCAGTGGACTTAGCATAGGTTTCAAAGCAAAGTGAAGTGATCGCGTTGACTCGGCGTTCAGAAATTATTTATCTCTTCACTGAACGTCGAGTTAACGCGATCACTTCACTTTACTTTGAAATCATACTGCAACTGTTTCAATACATTAAATTTGAAACAGTTGTAGTGTGATTTCTGACTACCCCCTAATGGGATTACAGTCGTGAGTCTATGTATGTAGATACAACATTGTAAATAAATAGATACATTCTCATTTTTTAAAAAACGAAATAAAAGAACATTTTTACGTGCGTAAGTTTAATAAACTTGTCTTTATTTAATTTTCATTTATATGGGCACTTGTATTTTGCCAAGGTACGCTACCACTGCCGTTAAAATAATTGGAAAATTCTTCTCTTATCTGATAGGCTGTAATAGAAGGGCTATTGCCTCCTCGTCGCAAAGGACGCAACACACTGTTAATACTGTTTTCAGTCTGAATTTCGTTATCTTCACTCAAATAGTTATGCAGAACACAGGCCGCTTTAATAACTTTGTCAACTGTGTGGATATTACAACCAAATGCAGTATGAAATACTCGCCCTCGTGCTGCTAGTATTCCAAACGCTTGTTCAACCTCGCCGTGCTCTGCTTAGATGATAGTTATATATTCTTTTTTAGTTGCATTAGATTAGTTGCGATTGAGGGTATGGTCTCATTAAATTTGGAAGCAGTGGAAATGCTTCGTCACCAACAAATATGATAGGCATTTCCATACCACCTTCTTCTAAAGATTTGGATTCTGGTAGAAATAATGAATTATCTTTTAGTTTCTTTCCAAATGCAGAGTTGCTAAATATTCCTGCATCACTGAAACGTCCCTTTGATCCAACGTCTATTGCAATGAATTTATATCTTGCATCGACAACAGCAAGTAGTACTAACGAAAACGATTTCTTATAGTTAAATAAAATAGTCTGATCCTGAGTTGGGAGGTGATTTGATTATAAACATGCTTCCCATCAATAGCGCCTACACAATTTGGAAAATTGCATTTCTGCCTGAAATAGAGCTCCTTTTCCAGCCACAATTCTGTAGTCATTTCTTTCATAAATATTGGCTGTAAACACTTCCATATTGCATTGGAAACTTTGGATACAATTTTTGAAACTGTAGGGCCCGCTATCTTAAAATTGTAACCAATTGTAGTAAATGAACTACCTGTAGCCATGTACCTGCGAATTAATAAATAATATTATAATAAGCAACTTCAATTCTTTCCTACTAACTATTCATCATCATCATCATCATCACAGCCCTTCACAAGTCCACTGCTGAACATAGGCCTCCCCCAAGTAATGCCACAAAGCACGGTCCTGAGCCACCTGCATCCATCGACTTCCTGCATATCTTACCAGGTCGTCACTCCATCTAGTGGGGGGGTCGCCCTACACTACGCCTACCGGTACGAGGCTGCCACTCGAGAACCTTTCTTCCCCATCGGTTATCGGTTCTTCGAGCTATATGGCCGGCCCATTGCCACTTCAGCTTACTAATCCGTTGGGCTATGTCGGTCACTCTGGTTTTACTGCGGATATCCTCATTTCTGAGTCTATCACGCAGAGAAACTCCGAGCATAGCCCTCTCCATAGCTCGCTGAGCGACCTTTGTTCATGGGGGGTATATTACCATAGTTTCCACGCTCTGCGAGCCAGTTAGCAACCGCAGTTTTTTTTTGTCGTACAGTTGCTGTTATCAGGAAGATGCTGCTGCCCATCTCCTGCCTGTCTCCCTCTGTCGCCTTTTACGACACCCACGGGAAGATATGGGGTAGTGGATATTCTTAACCGCCACTACATGGTATCTGAGAACTAGAACTTTGATTCTATTTAAAAAAACTATGAATTAAATTGAAAGTTCTAGTTCTTGACATACTTAGATAATTAATTATTTCATTACTTTTTAGTGACTAGTTAGTGGGGAAGAATTGAAGTCGGTTTGTTATTTTTTTAATAAACTTATTTCATAATTTTTAGTGATAAGTTAATAATAAATTTTCATAATTATGTAGTGATGTATATATATTTATTATTTGTTACAGCCAAAGTAGCGAAAAATACTTGGAAAAAATTGCGAGACAACCATAGGGAAGCCTTAAAAAGACAGAAGGATGGAAAAAGTGGTCAAGCTGCCAACAACACGCGTCTTTGGAAATTCCAGAAAGTTATGGAATTCCTTGTTCCATACATGCAAAATAGGAACACAACTGGAAATTATTCCCAAGATAATTCACAGGTGTCTCAAGAAAGTAATCATACTCAAGTTTCGGAATTGGACGAGGACAACTTTGAAGTAGAAAACGAAAATGAAAACAGCCAATCTTCTAATATAACTGCTGCAAGTTCCGAAACCACATCACAAAATACAAGCACACCTTTAACACGAAAACGTGTACATAGTGTTCAACATGAAATTTTAAATTTTGTTAAGATCCAGCAAACAGACCGAGAGAAAAGAAAAACAGAACGTGATTTGAGAAACCAAGTAATTGACAAAATGGACGACATGGATCATTTTTTTCTTAGTGTTTGTGAAAGTACAAATTACCCAAACCGGCACAGCTTGGTCTTAAGAGAAATATTTTTAATTTAGTTACGAAAGAAGAAGAGTTAAACATTTACAATGATATGTATGCATCTGAGAGTTATAATAGTGCCTTAACTAGTACTCGAGGTATAAAGCTAAGGGTCCAATCCTCAGATACCAATTGTCATACATTACACAATGTGTTTACATCTCCAAGTGGTGCCTCAAATCAATCTGTAGGAGGATATACAGCTGAACAAGATGCCAATGACCTTACAGTCGGTGGGAACACCGTGTTCGGAGCGTATGCAAGAGAGGAGGCCAATGCTACTTCGCTAATTGATTAATTTAAAAATTCTTAGCGGTACCATTTTAATTTCATGTTTGCTAAGTACTTGTTTTTTATATAATGTAACATTAGTAAAGTTAATGAACGTTTTTTACCATTGTTTTATTATATTGACAAGTCACGCACGCACTACGTACATACTAGAGTACTGCCGCATTGCATGTAAAGTTTTGAAAAGATGTGTCAAAATAGGTTCACTATCTTACCATGTAAAATTTTTATGAATTATTATTCTACATACAAAATTAATTACTAATACATACACGAGGGAAAATGTAAAGAGAAAATTGCCTTATCTTGTGCATTCAAATAATTTACTTACCTCAAACAGATTGCTAATTTCTCTTCTGTGCTTATGGCTTTCTTACAGTCAATTTTGTTTTTTATATATGGACTTATTAACGAATGTAAATAATTAAAATGATTTTTAGTCATTCGCAAATATTTAAAAAAATCGTCTTCAGTGGCAATATTCTTTAGAAAATTAAATTCTCCGTATTTTTCACGTATGGTGTGTGGTAACAAGCTACCGTGACTGGACTCTTTTAACGACAAAATAACACATAAAATATCCATATCCGCTTCTTCTTCACTTTCATCTTCATCGGATTCAACTATGTCGTAATGTTTACGTTTTTTTGAAAATAAAGTCATTTTTGACGAGATAAACTACTACACACGAGCTGCAGATTACTTTTATACTGAGCCAGCGCAGCACAGCTTGATGTTGATTGTTAAAAAAACGTAGCCTAAGAAACACAGCACAACACAGCGCAGCATAGCTCGATGTTGATTTGTCACCCTTAGAGGCCAATTTGGGTTTCGCTTCCAAGTGACCAAAAAACTGCACGTCACTCGATATGTCGACGCCGAGGATTCCAATACTGGCTGAGGCAGCAAGGGGAGTGCCTTAAAACTGAGGAGGTACGACAAAGGGGTTCTTTTTACTCTTGTTCTTGTGGCTTCTGGGGATTGAATTGAACTAAATTTAGTCGCCCCCAATCCGAGACTTTGTTAAGCAAAGACTCGACTTCAGAAACAAGTTTGTCCCGGTACTCGGAGACGTTTTCTTGAGAAATATTGGCACGGCCGGTGTACAGACTACAGAGCATCACCAGTGTTGTCATCCGCATGGCAATGAATGTTGCTGGTTTGCAACATATAATTGATGTGCAGAAGAGACAGCGTTGGTGATAGCACACAGACTTGTTGAAGAGAACTGGCGAAACTTTATGTATTTCTGTTCACTAAAACTTTGACCTGAAGTAATTCTATGCGTTAAAACATACTTTGTAGGTTTGTTCGATTCCTTCACAAGGTGTCTGCCTTTTTAAAATTGGTCAACATACCAATTTAAAAAATGTGTTAAGAAATAATATTTCAAAATTATTTTTCTTCCAAAACTGTGAATATAAATCTAGGAAAAATTATTTTTACGTAAAAATATTTGTATTGTGAATCCGAAGGTGCATGTCTTCTTCATTTTCGACCTTTTACGATACAATTTTATTTCATTATCATAATTCGTTTTAATTACGCCTAGTAATAATGTTATATATTGCCAGATAAAAGTTTGCCGTCATAAATTACCAGGCGCAATTTAGGGGTTATTCACATGTAGTCACTTAAGGCCGAATACGAAGAGAACTGGCGAAAGTTGAGAAATGTATTTCTCTTGACTAGAACTTTGACCTGAAGTAATTCTAAGCTTTAAAACATTTTTGTAGGTTTGTTCGGGTCCTTCACAAGGTCACCGTCATTTTAAAATTTTAAAATAAATGAATATACCAACATATAAAAAAATGTTAAGAAATGATATATAAAATTGTTGTTCTTCCAAAACTCTGTGAATTTTAATTTAGGAAAAATTCTTTTACGTAAAAATGTTTGTATTGTGATTCCGAAGGTACCTGCTATCTTTATTTTCGATACAAAATATTATTTATTAACATAATTCGTTTTAATTAAAAACACCTAATAATAATATCGTATATTGCCAGATAAAAGTTTGCCGTAATAAATTACCAGGCGCTTCGACGTGTGACGTAAGATAACAACAGTCGATGTGTCTGTAGCGAAAATCGTTAATTTATTGTTTTATACGCGTTTAAGTGTCTATAAATGTAAATATGGGTAGGAAAAGAAATAAATGTTACCTAAGTGGTAAAACAAAGAGAGTTTATCGCATTAACGCTGCTCGAATGTTGTATTTTGAGGTTAATACTTATATTTTTGTAAGGTAATTTTTTGTTTGAGGCTGCCTAATAGGTTGCATTTTTACTCATTTACATTAGCCAAACTGATCATTTATACTTTTCTAGTTTCAAGTGAGAAACACTAAAAATGTAAAATATCAAGACCCAGTCGGAAAAGAATGTACAGAGTAGTGCAAGCACAGAGACCGCAAATAATGTCAGTCAATGTATTGTCCGAAAGCATGGGGTAAAAGTACATAATTAAGAAAAACCGAAATACTTCGGATGTGAAGTGATTGACCAGTCGGAGTAGTCTTGTGAGAATTTACATACACAGTACCTATCCCCACTATGGGGCAATCACCGACTTTTTAGTTTTTTTTTCTTTATTATTTATGCAATTTGCATTACGGCATCTTGTAAGACTCACAAGAACAAACATTTTCAGTTGTATGAGGTTCTTAAAGTACGATGCACCAATTAAGAAAAAAAATCGTTCTCAATGCAATAACTTTTCGAACAATATTTTATAACGAATAAAGTACAGAATTTATCTAATATTATAAATAAGAAAAATTTATTTAAGAGGTAAGCAATGCTCTCTGTGTTGTTCATTACTCTGCATCTGAGCTAGCTCAGTCAAATATAATCAAAGCCCGTACGGCTTTGACTATAGGTATTATACATGTCTATATAAACAAAGCGTAGGTACTGGCGGCGCGTGGTTTGCTGCGAAACGAGCAAGGTCATTCACGTCGTATTCGGCCTCAAGGCGTGTAACGCCGTGACTATACATGTGAATAAACGTAGGAAAAAAAAATTATTACTTATGTGGTAAAACAAAGAGAGTTTATCGCAAGAACGCTCCTCGAGTGTGGTACGTTCCACTTTGAGGTTATATTTTTACTTACTTTTACGGTACTTTTTTGTTGAAGGTTGCCTAACTCATAGACTGGATTTTTACTAATTTACATTAGCAAAACTGATTATTTATACGTTTCTGCGTGAAACTAAAAATTTAAATATCACGACCGAGTCGGAAAATAATGTACAGAGTAGTGCAAGCACAGAGACCGAAAATAATGTCATAGTCAATGTATTGTCCAAAGGCATGGGGTAAGTACGTAATTAAGAAAAACCGACATACTGCGGGTATTAAGCGATTGACCGGTCGAAATAGTCTTGTGAGAATTTGCACACACCCCGAATATTGGGACTTTTTAATTTTTTTCTTTATTACTTATGCAAATTGCATTATGGCATCTTGTAAAACTCACAAGAACAAACAGTTTACTGTTCAGTTACGTGAAGTATTTTACGTACGATGCACCAATTCAGAAAAAAAATCGATGTCAATTCAATAATTTTTCTTTACAGAATAACTACTTTACAGAACTTATAATCTATACTAATATTATAAAGAGGAAAGATTATTATTTTTGTATGTTTGTATCCAATAAAGTACAGACTTTATAATCTGTAGGAACTAATATTATGAATAAAAAAGATTTAATTAAGAAGTAAAGAATGCTCTCTCTGTTATTCATTACTCTGCATACCGAGCTAGCGCACTAGTACGGCTACGTGATGTTCGAAAGACAGCGCGCCATAGATATATACTAGAAAGGTATATATAGAAAGCGCGCGGTTCGCCACGAAACCAGCAAGGTCATTCGCTTCGTATTCGGCCTTAATAGGCTCGTAATCGGAGCTAGCACCGTCTACAATGACCTTGATGCTCCGATCTGCAAGAAAACTGGTGATCCAATTGCACAATTTCTCGGGAACCCCATAGGAAGGAAGCTTCGAAAGAAGCGCTTTGTGCCAAACCCAATCGAAGGCCTTCGCAATGTCCTAACACCAATGCCAACGGCCAACGGCCCTGGACTCTACTGCCTCCGCCCACCTATGAGTCAAGTAAACCAGAAGATCACCAGCTGCTCGACGACGACGAAAACCGTATTGGCGATCACTAATCAGCTGGTGATCCTCAAAGTACCTCATGAGCTGGCAGTTTACAATGGACTCCATTGTTTTGGAGAACAATGAGGCGATAGCGATGGGCCTGTTGTTGGACGGGTCTGAGCGGTCGCCTTTTTTAGGAATCGGGTGGACGAAAGCCGTCTTCCATGATTTTGGGACTACGCCTAGGGAGTAGAAGTACCGGAAAAGACGCGTTAAGACCGGTGCCAACTCTGGAGCACACGTCCTCAGCACATTTGGGGGGATACCGTCAGGCCCACTCGACTTGTGGATGTCCAGGGAGAGGAGTGCTTCGCGAACCGAGCGCTGTGTGAACCGCATCTCCAGCATGGAGCACTCACACCGCGGGTTGGTCGGCGGCATACTCCCCCCATCATCGAGAGTCGAGTTGGACGCAAAGAAAGAGCCTAGCAGATCGGCTTTCTCCTTTGCGGCATGGACCAGTGAGTCATCCTCCATGTACAGAGATGGCTCACAGAATTTCCCTTGGACAGCCTTGGCGAGAGACCAGAATGCATGAGTTCCGGAAGGAAGGCGAACTAATTACTGCCTACGTGCTCTGATTTTGTTTTGGCAATGACTCTTGAATTACTTGGAAGCGAAATTATACTTATTTTTTAGAGCGCTGGTGTTTACATCCCGGGACGTTGATGCGTCATCCCAGGCTTGGTAGCACTCCTGTTTATAGCATGATGCTATTTTACAGGAGCGACCAAACCATGGCTGAGATTTGCCTCCGATGGGCACCACAGAGGAAAGAATAAAAAGTTCCATACCCTGAAGTACCACATCAGCGACAGAATCGGCAACAACGTTGGGATAGTCCCGCGAGAAGCAAACCCGTCCCCAAGGGTAGGAAGTAGGATCCAAAGAAAGACCGCATCCCATCCCAATCAGCTGACCTATAGTGCCAAACACAGCGGCAGCCTGCAGAATGCAACAGCGATTTCAGTGTCACCACACTCCGGACATGACAATGGTCCGAGGAGCCTAAAGGGGCGTCGACGGAAATCTGATATCCGGCCGGATGAGAGGACAGCAGAAGGTCCAACAGGGAAGGTGCATGATCCTCATCCATCTGGAACCCGCGTAGGCGAAGTAACCAGTTATGTCAAACCATATGCCAAGGCAAAATCATGAACAGTTCTCCTCGCATGATCGGTTGAACGTGAACCAAGCCATTTGGCGTGGTGGGCGTTAAAATCGCCGTCTCGAGATGGTAGTGGACGGCGTTTATGTTAGAATAAAGTCCCCTGATATTGCAGAAATTTACGGATAGCGAGGCAGGGTTCGCCTTGGTCTTCCACCCACGCTCAGGAGTAGAGTTACTTTGTCATGGATGCTCAACGACGGATTCTCCAGGGGTGCAAAATGCAAATGTTCAGATATTCTGTAATATTTATCTGAATCATTTATTTTTATTGAAGAGATTAAAAAAAACACAATGTTGTATTTAATTATTTTAATCTTTAAGTCACTATACTAAGAATTCAGTATTATATTTAATTCAATACTTAAGCAAGATCAGTTGGCTTAACATCTTTGGAATTAGATGGTTGCTGAGTAGATTTCTGCAAAAGATTTTTGCTAAACCATTGAGGTCTTTCTTTCTTCATCTCGATTATCCTCTTACCTTCCCAAAATTCTTTAGGCTGTAAAAATTATTGATGTATTTACTAGGAATGCAATATTTTAATACAATTTTTATTTAATTCATATTATTTATGATAATCGGTATCATTTTCCGGTTAAATATTTTATTTTGTCAAGTCTAGAAGCAAAAGTGCGGTATATATCTAGGTTTACTAGGTGTAGCTGATTGCGTTTGGTTAAACTTAAGCATTTATTCATAGCTAGTTTTTAGCGTGTGGCCGGCCGATTGTTTTATGGTAAAATTTAGGTAATAATTAATAAACCTTATAAAAACAAAAATTACTATGACATCATTACTTTGTCAAAAATACGAATGCACATATGGAGTAAAGGTGTGGCTGAGGCTACTCTAAAGCCTTAATAATATTCTATATATTATACAGGGTTATTTTGCAGTTACTGACCAAATTTGCAGAGAAGGTTCAAAATAAGTAATATAGGCAAAAGGTGAAAAAATATTAATTTTAAAAAAATCTCAAAAATACTGTCCTTTTTATCTTTCAAATTCAAAATGCGTGGTAATGCATTATTTTAATATAATAACCCTGTATTTAATATCGAGCATCGGCTCCAACGTCTTTGCCAGATATCTGTCTGCCAGTTAGAGCCAACTGTTGAAGCCGAAGACCAAGTGTGGCAGCATCATTTCCTGGACACTTGAGATTTTGAGTTACCTTAAGATGTACTATGGGCACCTGTACATGTCACCGTTACAGTGTGTAACGATCCGATAACGATAGAGCAAGTCTTACTACACTACAACTACACTATTCCGACAATATTCCGGACGTAAATCTGAGTGAGATTAGAATTGCTCTCTAGAACCTTAAAAATGGCAAGGCCCCAGGCGAGGATGAAATTACTGCGGTGCTTCTGAAAGCGGGTGGAAAACTGGTACTTGAAGTCCTTTAAAAGATTTCTAATTCCGTCCTCCATGGTGGGTCTAGCTCTTTAAAAATGGCGACAATGCTTTCTTGAACAACTACAGACCGATTTTCCTTATGAACCGCGTCTATGTGCTGTTTTCGAGAGTCATTACGAATAGTCTCGCATACAGACTACGACTTCCAACCTCCCGAACAAGCCGGTTAAAAAGGCTATAGTACCATATACCACATGCATACCCTTCGGCAAATTGTACAGATGACCGAAGAATACAATCTGCCACTTTGCCTTGCGTATGCGGACTAGGAGAAAGCCTTTGATTTCGTTGAAATTTGGGCGGTGCTAGTCCTTACAATGGTGCCAAGTTAACTTTCGGTATATCGAAGTGCTGAAGTGTTTGTACAAATAGGGCTACGATGGCTATCCGAGTACAGAACTAGAGTACGAAACCCATTCAACTGTAGAGAAAAGTGTAAGACAGAGTGACGTTATATCCCCAAAACTTATTACTTCTGCATTAGAAGACATTTTCAAACTACTGGACTGGAAAGGATACGGTATTAACATAGATGGCGAGTACATCACTCATCTTCGATTTGCCCACGATGTAGTCCTTATGGCAGAATCGCTAGAGGACCTGAGCACTATTAGTGTATACTAATAGTGTCTCCCAACGGATACCTAGGTCTTAAGATGAATGTGGATAAAACAAAGATCATGTGTAACGTCAATGTCATACCTATGCCGGTAGTTGATAAAGGAGCACTAAACTCTAAGTTGTTGACGGGTATGTTTACAAATAGTTCGACTACGTAAGTCCAACTTCGACCGAGAGGTCAACCCGACAGATTCAACTGAGACGTGGTCATTCACTGCTGGCCGTATGAGGACGCTCAAGGTCGCTCAGCGAGCTATGGAGAGGGTTATGCTCGGAGTTTCACTGCGTGATAAACTTAGTGATGAGGAAATCCGCAGTAGAACCGACACCGCCCAACGATTAGCAAGCTAAAGTGGCTGAAGAAGCGATAAGCGGCGACAACCGATGGGGAAAAAAGGTTCTCTAGCGACAGCCTCGTGTCGATAGGCGAAGTGTAGGGCAACCCCCCACCCCCCCACCCACTAGATGGAGTGACGACCTGGTAAGACATGCAGGAAGTGATGAAGGCAGGTGACTCTGGACCGTGCTTTGTGGAATTCCTTGGGGCAGCCTGGTAAATTGTGCACAATATTTAGTAGTGTCAAGTTGTATAATTATGAGGCATGTTACAACTTGACACTACTCCAGGAGCAGTCCTCCAATTATTAATTATTACACCGTGATGAATTTTGGATTTAAAATTATTTATAGAATAACAAAACATACAATACCATTTCGGGAACACTTTCCCCTTCATATAAAACAATAACATCCTTCTCAATGGGGTTGTTTCCTAATTTTTCTTGTATTTTAGCTTGTATTTCTTTTGTTTCACTCTCTACTCTTTTGTAACAATTTCCTATAAAAAGAGTATGGTAAAAATTATTTATGTACAACTCTCTATCTAGAACAAAGCGAATGCTTTATAATAATAATAATTTATTATCAATAATATAAACGTATCTTCCATTCAAGAATCAAAATGATGATACATTGTCACTCCTGAGCGCCAAGACGACATCTCATTACTAGTAAGAAAGCCTTCGTTTGTCTAAACTCATTTATGATAATACAGGTGCAGTATTCCGCGACGAACGTTTACAAAAGTTGTTTTGCTCATTTTACTTGTTGTTGAAATCTTCAATATTTGATAATCTGCGAAATTAAGAGTGGTAGAGCCAAGCGGCAGCTTTCGCTGTCACACGAATACGCCAGCTTTAACTGGGGAGGTACCACAACCTCACAGAATACCAGCGTAAAGTAGAAGCTCTTCTTGTACGCACAGTCGATTCCAAAGGGGAGGCTTTGGTGGTTAGTTTGGACGTAGCGAAAGTCGTCAGTTGGGTTTGGCACAAAGCGTTTCTTTCGAAGCTTCCTTCTTATGTGATTTACGAGAAATTATACAATTGAATTATGTGTTTACTCTCAGATCGGAGCATTAAGGTCTTAGTAGACGGTGCACCTCCGACTCCAAGCCAGTGAATGCTGGTTTTCCACAACCATTACTGTTAAGGTTTTAGCCTATTAAAGTGCACTGCTGAACATAGTTGTTCCCCATAGATTGCCTCTTAGAGGCGAAATTTAACACACCACATTGCCACGCTTGACAAGCACATTGGGAACCACAGTTTATTTTTAGTCGTTATTACGAAGACGCTGCTGCCCATTCCGATTTTTTCCCTCTGACGTCTCTTACAACACCCACGGGATAATACGGGGTAGCAGATATCCTTACACCGCCACTACTCGTCGGTGTTCCACAAGTCTCCTCCAGTACTATAGCCTACCCTGTTCCTTCTGACATCTATCATCAGTTAAGAAGGCGTAAAATAAAAAAATCGCATCAAGTAATTCGAAGACTGGTTTGTGCAAGAAAGACTGTTTGAACCCAGGGCGTAAAATGTTTTCATCGTCGCAGAGCACAAAACGGTCTTTGTAAACAGTTCGTCGTCGCAACTCCCACCCCTAATATAATATACATATACAGAATGGGGTCCCACATATATGCAATAAATGAAACCACAAGTAATACTAGTCCGTAGAAGTGTAGAAAAATTAAATATTAAATTAAAACCCGTAAAATAAAAAAGTGAAATTTTCAAACAAAATAAATATTAAAATAAATTCAGTAAAAGTGAACACTCTGTTTAGACAACGATATGTCGCAATACCAATAGTTTGCACTGCGTGGCAACGTCGCTTTTTAATGTTCAAGGATTCAAGTTCATTGAATCATTGACTTAGTGACCCAATTCTATAGTGTTCAAATTTGCTTAAAATTAAAACTCTACTTTTTGACCTAATTACTGGACCGATTACGTTCATTTTTTGTATATCGTCAGCAAAGGCGATAACAAGTATATGGTTTCATTTATTGCATATATGTGGGACCCATTCTGTATATAAATTAAATAAAAATATAATTACACAATTCCTCAAACAATAAAATAAAGCAGATAAATACATAATCACTTTATTTATCCTAACGGTGTCCCAACAATTGAGGCAAGTAATGCTCTTTAAGTAGTTGCTTAATGATTACAACAGTTTGTGCCTAACATATATGCAAAGGTAGGTCATACAAAAATAGGTATTTGTAGATTTTATTGTGTTTATTATAGTTTTAAAATAAAATGTAACTTCTTTACGTAGGTCTGCTGTACAGCTAATTAAAACCATATTGCATAACCACACTTCTCGGAATTGTTGAGTGAAAAGCACTAAAGCAGGAAGAATTTTAGAATAGAATAATATAATATATTCGACCTAGAAGATGCCTCTGCCGGAGTGAGCATACTGTATAATTTTTGTTTATTTTTTAAGATAAATATAATAAAAAATTTATAAAATTGCAACTGTCGATAAGACTCAACAAATAATAAAATCTTTTCATGTACACATATAAATAGTGATCAAGTGTCTTTTACTTAATGACTTTTACTTATTGAGATAATTATTATAATTTGATACACATAGGTCTTGTTCATGATTAATTTTTATTTAAAAAATGTCTCAATTACCACAGAGACGTCCTCGTTCATGATGATGGCCACAATCCTGGCAAACTTTGATATTTGTTTTGGGTACAAACATTTTCCATACATATTCTGGTGATCCAAATTTCCTTTTCCAACGCTTTTCAATAGTTCTTCTAAATTTAGGGACAGCTAGCAACATGCCATCTCCAATGATATCCTTTAAAGAAAACTTTTTTGGAGAATTTGAACTCTGTTTTTCATAAATCTGGACTATGGCTAATTCTAGAAGAAAATATATTATCACACAGTTATACAGCACAGAACATAATATAGTATATATATGCATGACTTAAACTTATAGTCCGGTCAATCTAGACATTCGGTGATACATTAATTTACAAGCTGATAATAGATAAAATTGTTTAAATTATAATAATAAATAAAATGTTGAAGTTCCCCACCATTCTAGTGTATAGAATTTTTTTGAAGTGAAAACTTCTTTAGCGGCGGTGTACACTTTTTTGTAATGGGTAAAAAATGTTAAACTCGCGTCAGGACACGTGACCCTGATCGAAAATGCGTAAAACGGATGGAGAGAATGGGAGAGCCGGCGCGGCGTAGAAGAGGAAGTATCCCCCTCTCTTTCTACGGCGCGGCGAACGAAAATGTATGCCTGCGCCTGTTGTGTCGTTTAGGCGGCGCAGGGCGCTTGCGCGACTGTACCTAATATGTCATGTTTGTGTACGATAGTGCAATAAATAAATATTGTATTCTACCACATAAATGATAGTACTTTTATACTGATAATTAAAGAAATTCGTGCAAAATTATTCTCTAACCATTCCAAAATATGAAAAATGCACAACGTTAATATTCAAGTTTTCATTTCTGCCGGCACTCCCGAAGTGCAACCCGTCGCTTTTTTAATTCAAGGTCAAAGGTCAAAAAAATGAGTCGTCATTTTCGGCAAAACGGTAAGTTTTATCATAAAAATACTCCAGACAAAAGTTGTAGATCATAAAATTATCTACAAGAAATGTTTCAATACTTTTTTCCTACGAGCCACCGTTTCTGAGATATTGCGATTCAAAAAGTTGTAAACGTCATAATATTCACACGTTTCCACCCCACCTATGAGGTAGTGTACAGCGCGTTTTTTTAACGTGGTTTCCCCAGTAGGTCTATTCCACGAGTCATTTATTATAGTAGCAGGTGTAAGACCCTAGCCACGCACACAATTGAACAGGGGACACAGATGTTGTCTCGAGGTTACACGGTGTATAAATGAAGGGACTGGGTTTCATTTTACCAGATATTCTTACGGTTATAACTTATTTATATTTTAATGTAAGTTACAATGACAGATAGAAAAATATTTTAACATATATTAAAACTCCAGAGTTGTGAATACGTGGCGTACTCATGCATATTATGATGTTTACAACTTTTTGAATCGTAATATCTCAGAAACGGTGGCTCGTAGGAAAAAAGTATTGAAACATCTTTTGTAAATAATTTTATGATCTACAATAACTTTTGTCTGGAGTATTTTTATGATAAAACTTGAATGACCTTTGACCTTGAATAAAAAAAAATTCATTAAGCAGGAATGGTGGGGAACTTCAGTTTTATTTATAATTATATTTTGAACCATTTTACAATTATCAGCTTGTTGTAAATTCATGTATCTCTTATTTTTTGTGCTAATTTGACCGGACTACAATCAATATAGATTTTTTATCAAATCATAACTATATTACTAATATAATCTCCCTTGATAGTAAAGGTTGTTAAACAATCTAAAGTAAAATTAATAATTAGTCAAAAGTGTGTTGTGGCCAGTGGTTGTGTGTGTAAAAGATTGACTGGCTTGTTAGCCTAGTGGCCGTAAACACGATTGCTGGTCATGAGGTCCCTGGTTATCCATACCAGTTATTGGCTTATTTTGTAAGAAATTCTTAGTAGCAGCCTGGAGTCAGGAAGTTGGTGGTGTTTCACCCCCATACCTCAGAAAGCATGAAAAGCCATGTTAGTAGTCCTGTGCCTGATGTCATGTCGGATTGCTATCCTATTTGACTGTGAGAGTGAGGTAATAGAGAGACCACCTGTATTAATACATAAACTTGGTCACCAAAACCCTGTCCTGCGCAGATAACTAGTCTCCGTTGAAGTCTCCGTGACCGAAATTGGTCTGGAGGACATTATTATATGTAAGATATGAATCCTCTGCAAGTTTTGTATTTATTTTTTTTTTCAATTATTTAAGTACAGTAGACCTGCAGTAATCTGAACGGTAGTCCAGAACTTTTTGGAAAAGAGTACCTTGTAATTTGTAATCCAACAAATTACATATCAAATAAAAGATAATAAAAAATAAAAAAGTCATGTGATGAACAATGAATACCTAACCAGTAAATTATTAATGCCAGTTAGGCCACTACCATAGTCAATTTAAACTGAGACAATACACATCAAGCTAGATTGGTGGTGGTGTAGCAACTAATTGCAACCTGTTTGTCTACAAGTTCATGAAGGGCACCTCTTATGTGGCAGATTTATAACGAAACATGATAAAGGCCTGCCGGGTTACAAGGGGGGGGGTTAGCCAGGGGCCGGATTACTGGGGGTCCACTGTATTTTTACAAGCTTATTTACTGAATTTTAGTTTAAAGTTTTTGTTAAAAATCTGTGTGAAAATTCAGATTATTAAGATAAAAATCAAAAATCCAATTTTATCATATATGGCATATACATATATACATAACCAACTATTATTATTTTATATTATTTGTATGCAGAAATAAACTATATTACAAGTCTTTTATTGCAGATCTTTTTTTTATATTTTTGTAATTTCTTTTCTAAGGCCCGCCACATACATTGGGATTTTGAATGCAGTGGGTCCATATAAACTCAGTGACCTGTCACACACCTACGGTAGATTTCCATATGGAATTTGCAGGTAAAACATGATTCCATATGTGTGTGGCCGACCCATTTGTTTTCCATTTTTTTTTGTTCAAATTCTGTTTTGGAATTCCAAAACAGAAATCCATATGCAGTGTGTGGCGAGCTTTAGAGTTGTTTGAGAGAAATACAGATTACAAAAGCAACTGTCCTGACAACAAGAAAAATACCGAGCGAGGGCATCATTCATTTTGCTTTTAGCTGACTTCAAACAAAGGATGAGGTTCTCAATTTCCTGTAGTATTGTTATGTGATATCTTTCAGTTGTGAGCTGATTTTGATGATTCTTTATTTATTTAATAGTCTATAATTCAGAGGTGATCCTGTATAAATTTAGAGAAAATGGTTTACTAAGTATGTCAAAATAGGACATGAAGTTTTTAATGTAACTATTTATACGGCATTGAGATTGTGATATTCCTGTTTTGATTTTATGGACTTAGTTGTTGAGAGCATCACGACAATGCATTTCCAAAGCGTACATGGCCACATATGTACAGGCCTTTAGTAGGCTTAAGAAAAAAAATTCTTTTCCAAACGTCTTCACGATGGGTGGAATAAATTGATGGAATAATTGAATATCTTCTTATGAAAATAACAAAGACAAAAACAAAATGAGTATCTTTTCAAATGGCAATAGTGTTCAATAATCCAAGATTAGTCCCATGAAAAAAATACAAAACAAATGAAAAATATCCCATGGTGATCCCAAATGGAGTTCTGATCACGATACAAAAACCCTACTTTGTGTAAGATTCAAATCAAACTACTGAACCATAGTTAATAAATACTCAATTTACTATACTGGAAGGCGGAAATATCACCAGTTTTACTAATATCAAAGGAAAACAAAAACAAACACTATTAAAACAGACAGCTGTGATTTAATAAAATACAACATACAGAAGAGAACTACATTGGGGAATCAAATTTACTAATATATTTGCTTAAATCTATCTGTTTGTAACAAGCAGTAGTGTGTGTGAAGTTTCTAAGTGGCTTGTAGTTGCTTTTACTGATCACAAAAAAAAACATACCTCTCGGAGGATGACCAAAACTATGTAATATATTCCTTTCTAACGTCTTTAGTAAGTTAAGTATATAACCGAATCTAGATATCATATTTGAATTTTTTAATTTATTTTAATTCTGAAAATATTTTTTGCAACTTTACATGAAATAACCTGAAACTGAATGGTGTGTGGAATCGATTATCAAGATGATCGTTTGCAATCGATCATCATTTAGATAATCGATTGAGTTCGATTATTGGGAGAAAACGATTTATAAGTTATGGTAACCTATTTACAAACTGAATCTCCGTTACTTATTGATGGGTATACTGCGTAGTAATTTACTATGTACATGAGATGGACATGATTTTAGACGTATATTTAAATAGTTAGTATATGAGACGTACACGATCTTAACGTATGTAAATCCGCATCTGTACAAATTACATTTAAAATATTCGTGCATCTCCTTTTCCTTGGAGAGGATTTTCTCCAGAAACGTGTTACGAAGATGGTCACAAATTTAAGGAGGAACCGCCTGCTGCCAAAACATCTCGATTACATATTTTTTGACACTGATTAGAAATTTGTAACTAAAAGTGTCAAAAAAGTGTTATCACTTATCATTGTTTTATTTTCATAATATTATTTAGATAAGATAATTTGTAACTAATTTAATTTCAAACGATTAGTAATCGATAACCTTAGTTCGAATTATCGATTAATCGCTTAGATAAATAATCGAATAGACACACCATTAGAAATAACCCTGTATATTAAAGGCTTCCCGCTGTGGTCAAAGAAAATAAATAAATTATACTCGTATTATAATCATTACATACGTTTAAGAAGCCTTCTTTAGTAATTAGTATAAGTAAATGTATGAAAGGGCGCCAAACTAATCTACCAACATCAAGACATGACATTTAACTTTTTACAAAGACAGTGCTTACAACATAGACGAATTTTAATAGTGCTGTAAATGACTATCAGCCAAGTGCGAGGCGGACTTGCACGTGAAGGGTTCAGTACCATCGTACAAGATTTAATACTATGTAGGTAAAATATTACAATACTAACTCTGTGAGCATTTTAAGCGTCTACTTGTTGCCAATTGCCATTATAAAATCGAACTAAAAAAGCAAAAACAAAAACACGTTTGTAGTAGGAGAGCCGCTTTAATTTTTATTTATTTTAATTTTTATTGCTGTTATAGCGGCAACAGAAATGCACATTCTTTGTAAATTTCGGCTGTCTATCTATTACGGATCATGAGATACAGCCCGCTGACAGACAGACGGACAGCGGAGGCTTAGAAATAGGGTCCCGTTTACTCTTTGGGTACGGAACCCTAAAAAAGAGGTAAAAATATCGGTTTAATACTGATTGAATTCGTTGTTTTAAGTGTAACAAATATTATGTAAAAATCACTAAGTTTCTTCACAGAGGTACATGCTACTCAATGAGATCGTTTATTAATAGTCGCTTTAGAAATTATTGCTCATCATAGCTAATACTCGTAAATGAATCTATAAAAAAACAGTAAATGTTGATAATCAGGTAATTAAGTACAAATTTGTTTGGGGAGTTGTTTATATTTAGTAATACGTTTATTTAAGACTGTTTGATATTAGTAAGTGTTCGATTAGAGGAAATTTCCTAGCAAGCTATACTGTGGTCGTTTTACAACAAAAATATAGAAATAAAGCAGTGACTTGTAAGTTCTGCAAGAGAAGTTACAAAGACTTTGGGAAGAATAAACACCCGGTACAGTATAAGCATAAGCAAATATATAATATATATATATATATATATATATATATATATATATATATATATATATATATATATATATGTATATATATAAAGAATATTAGGGGTGAGTAAAGGTCATCTCATGCATATTCTTCAACTAGTGAAGCTGAGAGTTCTGCTTCCACGTCTGTTGATCCCAATTCTACATCAAAGAAACTGCGTTTTCAGCAATTGCAGCTTGTAATGACTGTAAAGCCTGTGTGCGGGTAGAGCATGACCTGTCACCTATGTTTAGCGTCCAAGCGGGCGTAAAACAGGGTTGTGTCATGTCTTCCTGGCTGTTCATACCGTATCTCGATAGCTGTTTACAGAAGCTGAAAAATAGCTGTTTGGGTGTGAAATTGGGCGACATTAAAGTTAATTGTCTGCCGTATGCTGATTATGCAGTGCTTATTGCACCATCAGAAGAACAGAACTGCAGGCATTAGTCACATGTAAGAAAGAGGAATGTGAAATTAAAGGTCTCCGGTTGAATGCTAATAAAACTAAGGTTCTGGTATTTGAAAAGGACGAAGAGAGAACGAAATGTGAAATATGGGTAAATCAGGAATATCTAGAACAGGTAAATGAAATTGAATACTTGGAGAGTGCTTTCAGCCGGGATGGAAGATGTGATTTAGATGTGGACAGGCGTGTCGCTGCCGGGAAAAAAGTCAATGGTGCCCTGAATGCGTTAGTCAAAAGGCAAGGCGTAGTGAAGAGTGCTCGTCTTGCAATGCATAACGCAGTGTTGGTGCCGACTTTGTAGCATAAAAGCATAAAAGCAAGTTGAATGGTGTATATTTCGACTCAATTTTAGATTAATGTAGGTATTTTGAAATAGATTCATATTAATATTAATTGTGAAGATTGCCAAGTAACATTGCATAATGATCATTTATCAAACACTCGACCAATCCTGACACTAGACGCGTCCCCGCGTAAAAACAGTACCAAAGATATTAGGTTTCAAATTAACAATAACTCTTAACTCTATCTTTTTTTCACTTAATACTGGCTAAATAGTACCATTCAACATCGGTTTTCTCTTTAACTCTGATGAATACCGTTGCGTAGAACGGTCCACACTGATATCATTCAGTACCAGCCCACTCTTTAACTCTAAGAAGTGCCGTTGTACAGAACGGTCCACACCGATACAATTCAGTAATGGCTCACTTTCTTATATCTAACGAATGCCGTTGCATATACCGGCCTTAAAGTGTAATAATTATTCATATCTTCATGCATTATCTATTATGTTTTATTCATAAAGATTATATACAACAGAAGGGAACTATCATATAATAATAATATAAATTACTATTGTATTTTTCACTCGTATGTTTGTATTGTATTACTATATCTCTTCCTTCATAATATATCACAATTATGATGCAACTACGACCACATATCTTAAAGGGACAATAATTTAGAACACGAATGCTTTAATCGGAATTCTACTCAGAGTCACTGGAGATTGGATAATTTTGGAATACTAACCAAGGGTGTATTTCATCTACCGGGTAAACTCAGATGTATGCCGCTTAAACTTCCTTTTTTAGTAATCGGTGTGTCTTGAACCTCATATTGCACATGACTCAGAATTTTTCTTATTCTGTACGGCCCGGAACATTTCGGAACCAACTTTCTGGTATGTCCCGGCGCCCTATATATGTCTTTCTCTATACGAACAAGATTTCTATTTTATTTTTCTATTTTATAATGTTTAGCTTCTTTTCTCGTTTTATCAAACCTGATCTTTTGCTTCAGTTGTTCGGAAGTAATTCGTTGTTCAACGTCAATGCGAATTTCATCTCGGTTTTGAAATTGTTGAGATTCATCCACTACACTGTTCATAACGCTATCGCGACTTCCCGTAGGAACCACCCCAAATAAAGTCTCAGCAGGAGTTTTCCCAGTGCCTTTGTTAATTGTTTTGTTCAACGACCATTGCACTTTAAACAACACGGTATCCCATTCACTTTCAGGATGTCCATGATTAGCAGAAGCGAGTCTACGAAAGTTTTATTATATCGTTCGACCTGACCGTTTACTCGAGGTGTAGCAAGATTTCGTCTAACATAGTCCTTAACATTAATCCTCAACTTTACCATATATTAATTTCAAAATGAATGCTGCAATACTTTCGGCGTAATGGAGGATCTTGCTAAGCCATTTGAGAGATTTTTTTAATGTAAAATTATTACCAATTTCAACAACATGCTCGCTTCAAAAGGTGCATAATATTTTGTGTTACGTTTAGCATACAAAATATCCTATCCTAAATCATATTATATACATTTCGAAAAGGCCTAACAGATTATCAAGCAACCGAACTCATGATTTTTTTATTTAATAATAGAAAACATATTAGCATTTTTAAGTACATTAGAGTCCAGTATAACACGAAGAAGTCAAATATTAAACATAATTTGAAATAGATGAATTTCAATAAAAATTAAATATAATTCATATTAAGTAGGTCCTAATAATTGAATATAATGAGCGTATAGTGGTAAATTGATAAATTGACCAAAAAAGCTTATTATTGAGGAACAGTTATACTATAAAGTCTAACACTGGTTGGTTAAATAACTATGTCAAACTTTTACTTTTAATTTTCTAAATTTAAAAATTAAATCCCTCAGGAATATTTATATGAACTTTTCGCTCTCACTTTTTGAATCCACCATTCAATGCTTTGGCTATCAACAGAAGGATCAAATTCTGATATAACATTAAAATTTGCCGTTATATTATTAGGCCACATTTGTCCTCCAATAGGAGTAACAGGAACAGCCATTGAGTTGCTTGTCAAACCCGAAGTAACTGGTGGTTCCATAACATAAGGTAGGGATTGAAGGTTCACGCTTGTAACGTTACGAGGCATATCATTTAAGTTAATCCTTATGACAGCGTTCGAACCCTGGGCAACGGCGGAGTTCTTATTGAAACACTTCTTTTACGATTTCCACCTCGAGATCGATGGTCATTATCATGTAGAGATTTATGATGATCGTGGTGTCGACAACGTTTATGTTTTTGTCTACCATGGAGTCTTTGCTTACTACGACGATCAGGAGTACTAGAACTATAAGAATTGATTAATGTTGACGAGCTTCCATAACGTTTACGAACATCATTACGTCGCTTACGTGGCGACCCCATAATATAAGTTTATAACCAACCGGCAAACCCAAAAATTTAATTGTTAAAAATTAGACATTTTTAACTTTTGTCTACTAAACTAACGGTAACAAATTAAAGGAAGAGAAATATTTATAGTTACAAATATTATAATTATAATCTTATGATACCCTAGATATTATGATACCAAAGAAATTGCAATTTCACTTTATAGGTTTCATGGTAACAATTGCGAAATTATATTTAAGCAATCTTAGTAAAAAAGGATTAAATTTATCTTATTATAATCGAATTGTTTCAATCACGCCTAATAGTTTTTTTTTTCACTTATTCAAATCGTATTCACTGTACTGTATTATGTCACACTGTATACACTATATGTGGCAGCTCGAAGATTAAAACAGATTGTCAATTATGAGATTAACACAGACACAGGATGTATTCACATACAAATTTATTACGAATTATTAAAGAGAAATAAAAGTCACTGACCTTGGTTCATAGTAAACTCACTTTAGCAGTCTTCTTTACATATACTTCAAATCGACTTTAAGACAGGATGTCTTGCGATTACGTGTGGGTTGTATCATCCCTCTTCTGAATCTGTCAGCTTTCCTCCGTTAAAACCACAACAACTCACTTAGTTAACTGTTTAACCACTATGTTCGTTGTTTAATTTCACTCTTAAATTGTATATAATACTTTATAACACACTATGCTTTACTTTCAAAAAGAAGACCATATATTAATTTAACTTTACTCACAACCTTTAGGTTTATTTCACAAATAAATTCAAACCTTATTTCACAATAGATTTGACTATTATAACCTTCTCATCACCACTGTTCGTAATCAACTGCCGCGAGTGCCAAGTGTACGCGCTTTTATATTGTGACTCAATTCTAGATTAATGTAGGTAGTTTGAAATAGATTCATATTAGTATTAATTGTGAAGATTGCTAAGTAATATTGTATAATGATCATTTATCTAACACATGAAATTACCTACTTAAATTGTATTTGTAAGCTAATTATTTAAATTCCATTGATGGATCACTCATCATCATCATTACAGCCCTTCACAAGTCCACTACTGAACATAGGCCTCCCTCAAGTAATGCCACAAAGCACGGTCCTGAGCCACCTGCAGCCATTGACTTGCTGCATATCTTACCAGGTCGTCACTCCATCTAGTGGGGGGTCGCCCTACACTACGTCTACCGGTACGAGGCTGCCACTCGAGAACCTTTCTTCCCCATCGGTTATCGGTTCTGCGTGCTATATGGCCGGCCCATTGCCACTTCAGCTTACTAAACCGTTGGGCTATGTCGGTCACTCTGGTTTTACTGCGGATATCCTCATTTCTGAGTCTATCACGCAGAGAAACTCCGAGCATAGCCCTCTCCATAGCTCGCTGAGCGACCTTGAGCGTCCTCATACGGCCAGCAGTGAAGGACCACGTCTCAGATCCGTAAGTCATCATAAAGAAAAGGCTTCAGTATCATAGACCACATAGATACCCTGCGGCAGATTGTACAGAAGACCGAAGAGTACAATCTGCCACTTTGCCTGGCGTATGTGGACTATAACAAAGCCTTTGATTCTGTCGAAATTTGGGCGATGCTACAGTCCCTTCAGCGGTGCCAAGTTGACTGTCGGTACATCGAAGTGCTGAAGTGTTTGTACAGTAGGGCTATGATGGCTATCCGAGTACAGAACCAGAGCTCGAAACCTATCCAACTGCAGAGAGGTGTAATACAGGCTGACGTATCTGTGATTTACGCTTTGATTCTTATTCGATTGTTCTGTCTATGGGCTACAGTATCAAATTAACATCGTGTGGACTGTGTATTCATTTGTCACCCATATTACAGCCCATAGTTTACATAATAAAAATATATTTAATCCAATACACTGTTTATGCTTTGTCAAACACAGCACATGTACCACCATCAACACTAAAACATAAACGGGATTCTGTTGTCATGGTGGTTAGTCACACGGTTTTGATAAATTTTCTCCGAAATTTTTTAACTAACGGCGTTATTTTCATTTGAATAGCTATATTTTCCTTAATTTCAAACTAATTATTGTACGTAAGTGTTTGTTATTATTCGTAGCTAGCTTATCTACTGGGGATGGAAGAGATTGAACAGGAGTCTGATCCTCCGGATGATGCCGGAAAATCTGGATCTTCACCCGACTTTTTACTTGATTTTAGTTCCACCGATACATTTCATCAGACTGATACTGTTAATCCTATGAAACTTAAAGCTTATAATATATGGTCCTTACATTTAGAACCTAAGAAGAAAGCATCTTCTCTTCCCTCAGAAGCCACACAGAATATATTTGTTCATCCTTTATCTGAAGAAAAGAAACTCTACAATAGTATGACGGTGCACCTTTTATTGTACACATTATGAAACCGTCAGTGGAGCCCTCCTTGGGAACAACAGTTAAGCCAATTCGTTACCAAAATAATATTCAGGGAATTTTAAAAATGGTGTTAAGAGCATAGGACGCAATCGAATTTCTATTGAATTTTTTTTACACCAACTAGCTAATGATTTTGTTGTAAGTCCATTACTTGCTAAAACGAATTTTGTAGCCTACCTATGCTATTAAGAGAATGGGTATCATTAGAGGTATTGCAGTCGATGTAGATATGGATGAATTCGTTTCTGCATCAGAAGTTCCTTCTACTACGGAAATAATTCGCGCTTGTCGTCTAAACCGTACTTGTCGTCTAAACCGTAAAGTTATTAAAGCAGACAACTTTGTTGAGTGGATTCCAACACAAACTATCGTTATTACGTTCTCCGGTAAATTACTATCCTCAGATGTTTTGCCTATTTCACTTCATATCCTATAGAACTTTACCTCTTACCTACAATACAATGTTATAACTGCTGTCGTTTTGGTCATGTTAAGTCTAAATGTAGATCTAAGCCTCGTTGTTATAAATGTGGACAACCTTTTGTTGGAGTAACATGTGAAATTACCTCGGTCACATGTCTTCACTGTACTGGTAATAATGCGGCTATTAGTTCATCCTGTCCAGAATTTAGTAGACAAAAATCTATTAAGCTCTTATCAAGTAAATTTTTAATATTTATGTGGCAGAAGAGGTGCTTGTGGGTATTTTAAAAGATACAAAAGTTATATAATAGTTAATATGTACATTTATTCTGTATGTCTTGTATGGTGTGTTTAGAAAAAAGTTCTAAGAAAGGCACTTGAGCTCACAAACCTGTTTAAAAGTAATGTTGATTGCATTTCATGTGCCTGTCAAAAGTTTCCTTCTAAATATTAGATAGACTACTTATGGAACATCAGTCGTAAACCAACTTTAGAACTAATTCCACTGAAGTCTCTTTTCCATGCAAAAAATACTATGTCTTTTCAATATAATTATAACGAGTTTTCATTGTATTTTAAATCAAAAAAATGAAACCACACTTGTGATTGCACAACCAAAAATTTATAAAACAAGTAAAAGCCCTAACACCGATGGCAACCCCAGTCAGAAGGTGAATTTCAATTAAATGGTTTTATAATATTTGTTTCCAATAGAGATAGGTATTATATAAATGTATATTGTAACGACATAAATGCATATTATGAGCGTCCACAATAGGTGGTATCGGATGCGCTGAGATGAGATAAACGTGGAATAAACCACGTGCGAAACAGCACGATCACACGAAACACTGCGAACGCCGATATTTTGTATCTTCAATCCGACTGAGAGAACTAATACCACCTATTGTGGACGCTTTTATGCTGAAGTTCAAAATGATATTTTTAACTCATATGGTATAAGTATTGAGTTATTATACCTTTAAATACGCCTAGAATAATTAAACTTTAATACTAAAGAGTCCTGTACCTATTAATGTATGAAGAAATGTTAATTGAATTTGAATTTAATTTTTAAAGTTTTTAACTTTTACTCGTCAATTAGCATTTTAACACACTTATATTCATCACAAGGAACACTATTATCCTCCCATTTTCACTAAAAATCTTTGAAAAAGCGTAAATTTTTAACAGACACAACAAAAACAAACATAAACATTGAAATGTGAAGTGAACTTGCAAACGTATTATACAGTAACCCCACTCGCTAACGCATTCCCAAACAACTTCGGGGCAAACCACTGCTTTTCGTTCCATAGTAATCAGGTTAGGAAGGGAGCGATCTTCTCGAAAGCCCGGTAAAAAGCCAACGCGTGCGAGGGAGACGACAAAATCAACTCCCTGCTTTAACTAATTTTGACAGTCCAGTGTATTTCGAATTGAAAGCAAACTTTAGCTTGGCATTTTATATGCTAAGAGGTCATTGCCCTGCCTAGAAAAAAGGAGCGCGCAGGAAATTTGAAATAGTTTGAAACAGTTTACGAGTTATTTTATTAGTTGATATTAGTGACTGAGCATTTTTATAGAGTAAGCCCGGCTTCTAGGCTTCTATGGAGGCTTCGCCACTGTTAGTACTGTAGTCTATCTTCGTTTTCGGGAGCGTTTCACTGACTCCCATTATTTTAATAATAAAGAACTTTAAGCTATTATTCCTTGTTTTATTTCACACTATGCCCTTTCACAAAAATTATTTCGACTCGCACGTATTCTTCTACAAAATAGTCTGACTGACCGAATAAAAATATGCAGGGGGCAAAATCGTTATTATGGGAGGGATTTTATTATCGTATTAATAATTTATTATTGATTCAATAGATAAAAAATTGTTGAAAATTCCATATCCATACAGCATAAACATGCAAATATCGATTGCCAGTTCTATGAGAATAATAACCGAATAGATTCGTTAACTATTATTCACCACACTATCCCTACAATGAGCTGGCAAAATTGTCAAGCTAAATTTGACAATGTTCCTTCATTCAAATGGATAATTTCGGACTGGTTTTCTAGTACTCTGTGAATCTATGAGATCTATTGGGAACCAAAAATTGTCTATTTGTGATTTGTAATAGCGCCATCTACTACATCCTACATCGATTATCCTGTTTATACAGATCATTCGGTTTTCGATCGGTTTTCGGCTCATTCACAATTCACAACAATCAAGAGTTAAAAAGGTTGATTGATTGTACCAGTACCACAAAATAAAACTGGTACATTCAAAAACAATTGAATGAACCATTTATACTTTTAAATGTACCAGCTCAAACGAACGAATCTAGCGCGATTGACGCATGTCTACAGTGTGACCATAGGGGGTAGGTTCCTGACATTTTGGAAGGATTGGCCTCTTATTTTAGCCTCTGGCATGATCGGTTGAAGTTTCATTAAACTGGCCGTATTTAGCTGTATTGGTGTATTAAAAATAGATTTCATTAAGACAACTCAAAATGCTGGAAATGGCAGCTCTAAAACCCTAGATTTTTCGCCAGCATATGGGGGATTTCCCAGTACTTCTCGAGTTATGTTTGTATCACATTCAATAAACACTTTTAAAAGTTAGCTTGTAACGTTGATATTCACAAACATGAGTTTATGGTTAATATTTCAATTAGTCATAGAAGAACTTTGATCAGTTGGTATTGTTGATCGAATTAGAAGAATGTACTTTAATTTGGTATCCCATTAGATTTCATGGTGATAATATATTATTAGCGATATCTTGTAAATAATATTTCGTGGGCGATAGTAATTATTGGTGGTGGTGATAAAGCGAAAATATGATAGGTTGTATAGAGCGGAGTGGGAGCAAGATCCTTTAGTTTCGTCGTGGATCTCCAAAGCTAAAGATAATCCAGACGTGGCCTTTAGTAAAGCCAGTAACTGCAAATTAGCATTCCGCTGTTCGCTTCAAAGGAGCATGCCGCTACTAGTAAACATCAAAAAAAATATGAGTGAACTCAGTAGTCAGTCTTCGGTAAGTTGAATAAACTAAACAGATTGTAATAGGTACATATTTATTTTTTCACCAGTTCGTTTTTAATCTTACACCCACAAGAATGTATGTTGCATTTTAAAATAAATTCCTTGAATTATTTCAGGTACAACAATTCTTTAAAAAAATTCTTGCAAAAAGAAATTAAAAACTCAGCTGAACATGTCTGGTTTTTTTTGGTAGAACACAACTTGCCGTATTGCGTAATGTGATGAAATGTCTAAAACAACGTTAAATATAGTACACTACAGAATTTGGCATGATTTGGCAGGTTTTTAACCATAGTAAGGCAGGATCTGCATTTTAAAGATGGTCACATTGCATGTCTAGTTTTGTGGTTGTAGCTTTGGGTTGTAGTACGTAGACAGAGAAAGAGAATCACTGTCTAGTGTCTACGTTGTAGTACCATAGATTACTGAGTAGTACCTTATTATATAGTTATGGGGGGTACACTTCCATACCTACTTTAGGTTGGGGTTCAATAATTTGCAAAGACACTAGTGCCATCTTGTACTATATCCGCATAAACTTTCGAACATTAAATTCTAAAAGGTGCGCTAGATGGCAACTACACCAATTATGGTTATTCTCGAACTGGCAAGTAGCAACTTTATATGACATAATGGCTAACGACGTTTGAGCAAGTTGTTGTTTTATTATAGTTTATAAGTGATTTTCGGTTGTTGTTACAATAAGTTTGGTTGAGTTGGGATTAGCCCTCTGTTTCTTGTTGTCTGTTTTGATTTTCATGCTGGAATCACATTGTATGTTTGTGTAGTGTTGTGCGAAATAGATGCTTTCATTTATCATTCCGGTAACTCGGTGGACATATTTAATTTGGTTTGGTGTTGTATTTTGCGGAATAGATGCTTTTACATCGTGTATGATAAATATATATAACAAAAATAAATGTTAATATTACTGACATCTATAATACGTCTTTAATTGAACCTTAACCCCGTAGACAGAGAAACCTATAGACTAATGATCGGCGTGGCCTCGAGTGAGAAAAGACAATAACGAATTTTTAGGTTATACAATAATCTTTATGACTTTTAAACACTTTTAGATAAAAATTTAATTGTTCTAAGAACTGAACTGAACAAGATTCACCAATCTTAGGCTCACAAAACACTTTTTTCTCACATAAACCAACTTGTAAACTCCTTAAATCGCTATGCTTTCAAAGTTGTTTAGCAAACTGTAGAGTTTGCTAAACAAAAAAACCCGCACGGTGAAAGGGACAAACAATCACACCGCTCTATCTCATTTCTATGCAAGACGTATGCATAAATCTATCTTTTTCGTGTGCGAATGCGAAAGAAGGCGTCAATTTGTCTATAGGTTTCTCTGTCTACGCTTAACCCCTTAAAATATAACCGCCTATAGTATAGATAGCTGTATATACATAACTACATACAGCTATCTATAGTAAACATGTATTGAGATTAGTTCAAGGGATATGATACCAGACAGCGACACTATTCATATTGGGCGACAAAAAATCCTAGGAGATGGCCCTCTATTTCTGTATATATTACTCTACTCTATGCTCTGTATGTTGTCTGCTTGTCTGAGTCTATGGCAAATTATTCTGTTTCTGATTATTACTGTATTTCTATTGTTGTTGTTTGTTCTATTTTTCAACACCAAATTTTCTTTATCTTTAAATTTTGGTATTGACAAGCCAAAATTACGTCCGATAATTATTGTGTGAGTGCGAGTAACTTCGTTTTGGATTTTGCTATAATATTACCTAACGTCAATTATTCTTTGTACCCAGTAATATATGATAGTGTTTTCTTGTTTTGTACGTGGTGATCTGAAGAGAATATAGTGAACCACAAAAGAAATAATTAGACAACACATATTCCTAGTGGGTAAGTAAGTCTTGTAAATGTATAAATTTAAATATTTGTCTATGTGTTTCAATAATTCTTGTCGTTCTATTTTGTGTCTATCGAATCTTATTTGAAGTGAAACTTTTATCGTGGAGAGTTTCAAGATATTTAGTACGGTATTAAAAATTAAAATAAAAACATCATGTTTTCTTGTAACTTTTCACTGCCAGAGCCAGCAAATTTTTTGCATGACTATACTAAACCTACATATGTAAAATATAAAATAAAAGAAGAAAGATATGTCGTAAAAAAGTTTCACTTGTGTGCGTGTGTACACAATTGCATGCACAATTTTTTGATTTCTAATGTTTTATTTGTATATTATCTTTAAATAGTATGTACGAAGAGCAATTGTAAGTTTGTGGTTCTTATCATTGACTCATCACCTTACTGATAATACTAGTTGTATGACTCAGTGGTAGTATAAATAACACCTGTTCTTTTTATTTTGTTCAATACCACTTTATTCAAAGAACAAACTACAACACCATGCTGACGGAAACTAATAATTCTCGCAATATCAAATCCTTCTTTCAAAAGAAATTATCCAAAAAAAATTTTGAAGAGATGTCATCAGTTCTTCAAGGTTTTGTTAGAGAATCATTTTAATGACCAATGCATAGAAAATCTTTTTTTTAATGACTTAAAGGTAGGTGTGAAAAGGGAATTTTATTTGAAATGGATTAAATTGAATAATAAAAAAATCAATCATACTTTTCTTACGTCCTTAGTTCATTTGGCTGGAAAATTTCAGCCACCTCAGGTATTTTATGACTTCATTATTGCCGTGTAGTAGCAGTTGAGAATATCCACTACCCCATATCTTCCCGTGGGTGTCGTAAGAGGCGACAGAGGGACACAGAAAGGAGGTGGGCAGCAGCATCTTCCTAATAACAACAATAACATAATAAAAAACTGCGGTTGCCAACCCGCTCGCCAAGCGTAGCAACTATGGCAAATATCCCCCCATGAGCAACGACTCAAACAAACGGCCCCCAGTCCCCGGCGGCGTCGCTATTCCTGGCTACGGTGGCGACCATGGTAACGGCAGGGCAGGGGGTGCTAAGAATCTCAGGTGGAGGTTCGGTTGCCACCTACGACGACTCGACCTGGCAACATATAACGCACGCACCCTGAGGACTGATGAGAAGATACTGGAGCTGGAAGAAGAGGTAGACAAGTTGCACTGGCATATTACTGGATTATCTGAGGTCCGAAGAGAGGGGAGGACACGGTAATCCTCGAGTCCGGCAACTTGTTCTATCACCGGGAGGGCGACCATCTGTCCCAAGGAGGTGTTGGATTTATCGTCCACAAGTCTCTCATCAACAACGTTGTAACGATTGGGAGTGCGTCGACGAGGGTCGCGTACCTGATACTCAGAATCACCAAACGGTATTCGCTGAAGGTAATACAGGTCTACGCACCAACCTCAGCACATCCCGATGAGGAGGTGGAGGAAATGTATGAGGATATTTCTAGAGCCATGCATTCCTCCAAAACCCACTACACGGTGTTGATGGGAGACTTCAACGCAAAACTAGGCACAAGAGAACGCGGTGAGCTGAAGTTAGGGAAATTTGGAGTAGGGCAACGGAACCATAGGGGCTAGCAGCTGGCTGAATTTATGGAGAAAGAGGGACTCTTTATGATGAACTCTTTCTTCCAGAAGAGGCCCCACAGGAAGTGGACCTGGTCGAGCCCTAACGGTTCGACAAAAAATGAGATTGACTTCATTATGACGACCAGACGCCAACTGTTCAGTGATGTCTCAGTGATCGTAAGGGTGAAAACCGGCAGCGATCACCAAATGGTTAGAGGCACACTGAACCTAAACGTTAAGTTGGAGAGGTCTCGTCTAATGAAGTCAATGCTCCGTCCCCCTCATGCTCTAATCCAGAATCCCGAAACCTTTCAGCTCGAGTTACGTAACTGCTTTCAGTGCCTAGAAGATTGCAATGCAGTGGACCATATGAATGACAAGCTCATGGAAACTGTCCATGCGGTCGGAGCTAAGTTCTGCAAGGCATGCCGCAGAAGAACACAAAAACTCTTGGACCACACTCTTAATTTCATGGCTGTTAGACGGGAGATGAGGCTGCAATCATCAACAGATTTGACAGCATACAGGCAACTGAACAGACAGATCTCCAAATGCATGCGGCGAGACTTACGCAACTTTAATACTGCTCGTATTAAAGAAGCGATCGAGCAGAACCAGGGCTCCAAAGTCTTTGCCAGAGATCTGTCTGCCAGAAAGAGCCAACTGTCAAAGCTGAAGACTGAGTGTGGCAGCATCGTTTCTGGGACACCTGAGATTTTGAGTGAGATTGAGAGGTTCTATGGGCAGCTGTACACGTCATCGTTGGAGTCACACGAAAGTGTGAGTAACGATCCAAGAGCAAGTCTTACCCGACACTATTCCGATGATATCCCGGACGTCAGTCTGAGCAGGATTAGAATGGCTCTCCTTAAAAACGGCAGGGCCCCAGGCGAGGATGGAATTACAGCGGAGCTTCTGAAAGCAGGTGGAACACCGGTACTTGAAGTCCTTCAGAAGCTTTTCAATTCCGTCCTCCATGGTGGCACTACTCCAGAGGCGTGGAGTAGAAGTGCGGTGGTCTTGTTCTTTAAGAAAGGCGACAACGCTCTCTTGAAGAACTACAGACCGATTTCCCTTCTGAGCCGCGTCTACGTGCTGTTTTCGAGAGTCATTACGAATTGTCTCGCACGCAGACTTGACGACTTCCAGCCTCCCGAACAAGCCGGTTTCCGAAAAGGCTTCAGTACCATAGACCACATACATACCCTGCGGCAGATTGTACAGAAGACCGAAGAGTACAATCTGCCACTTTGCCTGGCGTATGTGGACTATGAGAAAGCCTTTGATTCCGTCGAAATTTGGGCGGTGCTACAGTCCCTTCAGCGGTGCCAAGTTGACTGTCGGTATATCGAAGTGCTGAAGTGTTTGTACAGTAGGGCTACGATGGCTGTCCGAGTACAGAACCAGAGTTCGAAACCTATCCAACTGCAGAGAGGTGTAAGACAGGGTGACGTTATATCCCTGAAACTCTTCACCGCTGCGTTGGAAGACGTTTTCAAGCTACTGGACTGGAAAGGATACGGTATTAACATCAATGGCGAGTACATCACTCACCTTCGATTTGCCGACGATATAGCCCTTATGGCAGAATCGCTGGAGGACCTTAGCACTATGCTCAATGACCTCAATAGTGTCTCCCAACGGATAGGTCTTAAGACGAACATGGACAAAACAAAGATCATGTTTAATGTCCATGTCACACCTATGCCGGTAGTTGTTGGGACCACTATGCTCGAAGTTGTTGACGAGTACGTTTACCTGGGACAAATAGTCAGACTAGGTAAGTCCAACTTCCCCCCCGAACGGGTTCCCGCCTTGTCGTGGCGGGGGGCTTAGAAGCCGTGGCTTGGTCACCCACGGCGAAACAAAGAGGAACCCATATGGGTGGTCCGAGGTGGAGGGCCGGCCCCAGGTGGCCACTCCGAGTGGGCTTGGGAAGCCCACTTCGGATGTGTGTTGGTGGACTGCGGTGAGAGGTGTGTCCTCCCCACCTACCGCTGCAGCCGAGGTGGAGTCGCGGAGGAAGAGGAGTGTTGGTATGGCGATGCGCCACTCGCCCTATCCTCCGCGACTCAAACGGGGCCGCACCGTTGATGCGGTGGTGATGGGGCTGCGGGGGGAGAGGATTGTGAGGCGCCGCTCTCCCTATCCTCCGCAGCCGAATCTTGGTTGGCGGCGGAGCCATAGACCTGATCCGCCGCTGGGGTCGGGAAGGCTAGTACTTCTAAGTGCTCGTTTTCCTGGCCCCATGGCCTTCGCGCATCGGACGCGGGGGCGTCTGTTGCGCAGATGTAATTGGAGGCCGTGGAGGAAGGCGTGCCATGTGTTCTGGTGCGCCTTACTTGGAAAGGAGAACGGGGAGGAATATTCCTCTCCCGATGAGGTGCTGCCATGGGGCGTCAGTCGTTGGTGGGGCCGCGGATGTGTGCGAAAGCGTTCCCGTAGCCCTGCCAATATGCGACGAACGTGGAACACCATGGGGTTTTAGTCGGTGAGAGTCCGACATAACCCGTCCTTGCCCCCGCGAGGCGGGTATGCGTAGGCATTTCCCCATGTTAAAAAAAAAGGTAAGTCCAACTTCGACCGAGAGGTCAAACGACTGCTTCAACTCGGCTGGGCAGCGTTCAGAAAATTACGACACATCTTCTCGTCAGGTATACCTCAATCTCTGAAAACTAAAGTGTACAACCAGTGCGTGTTGCCAGTGATGACTTACGGATCTGAGACGTGGTCCTTCACTGCTGGCCATATGAGGACGCTCAAGGTCACTCAGCGAGCTATGGAGAGGGCTATCGCTATGCTCGGAGTTTCTCTGCGTGATAGACTCAGAAATGAGGATATCCGCAGTAAAACCAGAGTGACCAATATAGCCCAACGGATTAGTAAGCTGAAGTGGCAATGGCCCGGCCATATAGCTCGAAGAACCGATAACCGATGGGGAAGAAAGGTTCTCGAGTGGCAGCCTCGTACCGGTAGGCGTAGTGTAGGGCGACCCCCCACTAGATGGAGTGACGACCTGGTAAGACATGCAGGAAGTCGATGGATGCAGGTGGCTCAGGACCGTGCTTTGTGGCATTGCTGGGGGGAGGCCGATGTTCAGCAGTGGACTTGTGAAGGGCTGTAATGATGATGATGATAATGATGATTGGCTATAAAAAATGTTTATACAAGTGAAAAGTATCTCTAAGCTGTTCTTCCTGATTTTTCATAAATATAATAAATCTTGCAGTACCACAATCTTATGATAAATTGATTCTGCAAACTGACAAATGCATCAAAATTGACCTATGAACCTTCTGTTGGTTTTTAGACATTTTCAATGTCACCACAAAGTAATAAATGAGGTGTAATTAGATTATAAATGTTTATATTATAC